AAAGGTTTTGTTTCAGAAATCAATCTTCCGCAGAAACAGCTGGGTGGTACTGTTCCTTTTGATTCACTTTGCGAGCTTCAATCGCTTGAGAAGATATCTTTGGGGTCCAACAACTTGCACGGCAGCATCAATGAGGGGTTGAGGAAGTGCACCAACTTGAAGCACTTGGATTTGGGTGTGAATTCATTCAATGGAGCAGTGCCTGATTTGTCGAGTTTGCACAACTTGGAGTTCTTGAACTTAAACTCCAGTGGAATTTCTGGGGTATTTCCATGGAAATCATTGGGAAATCTAACTAGTCTTGAGTTCCTCAGTCTCGGGGATAACCTGTTGAAGGAAAATCCTTTCCCTTTGGAGGTGTTAAAGCTTGAAAAATTGTATTGGCTTTACCTCACAAATTGCAGCATCACTGGGAATATTCCATCGGGGATTGGGAATCTCACTCAGCTTCAGAATCTTGAGCTTTCTGACAACCATTTGTCTGGTGAGATTCCGGCTGATATAGTAAAGCTTCAGAGGCTGTGGCAGCTTGAGTTATATGATAACTATCTGAGCGGGAAAATCCCAGTTGGATTTGGCAACCTTACTAGTCTTGTTAACTTTGATGCTTCTTATAATCAGCTTGAAGGTGATCTTTCGGAGGTAAGTTCCTTGACAAACCTTGCATCCCTTCACCTTTTTGGGAACAAGTTGTCAGGAGAAATTCCAATGGAGCTTGGAGATCTCAAGAACCTCACAGAGCTTTCTCTTTATGCTAACAATCTCACTGGTCCTCTTCCTCAAAAGCTTGGCTCTTGGGTAGGCATGCAATACGTTGATGTTTCAGACAATTTTCTTTCTGGCCCTATACCACCTCACCTGTGCAAGAACAATCAAATCAATGAACTAGCACTGTTGAACAACAGCTTCAATGGGACTCTACCAGAAACGTATGCAAAATGCACATCTTTGGCTCGTTTTCGCCTGAGCAGGAACTCACTTTCGGGTGTAGTTCCTTCAGGCATATGGGGCTTGCCAAATTTGGAGCTGTTTGATCTTGCAATGAACCAGTTTGAAGGTCCAGTGACATCTGATATTGCCAAAGCAAAATCTCTGGCTCAACTGTTGTTATCTAACAATAAGTTCTCAGGTGAGTTACCATTGGAAATCTCAGAAGCTTCTTCATTGGTGTCAATTCAGCTAAGTTCAAATCAAATTTCTGGTCACATCCCAGAAACCATTGGCAAGTTGAAGAAACTAACCAGTCTTACTTTGAATGGGAACAATCTTTCTGGTGTTGTACCAGATTCCATTGGTTCTTGTACTTCTCTTAATGAAATAAACCTTGCCGGTAACTTTCTTTCTGGGGCTATACCAGGTAGCATCGGTTCTCTTCCAACTCTCAATTCATTGAACTTGTCCTCAAACAGGCTTTCTGGTGAAATTCCATCTAGTTTATCATCTCTGAGACTTAGCCTTCTTGACTTATCAAACAATCAGTTGTCTGGTTCCATACCAGAACCAATAGCCATTTCAGCCTTCAAAGATGGGTTCATGGGAAACCCTGGCCTATGCAGCCAGAGTCTGAAAGGTTTCAGACCATGTTCAATGCAATCTAGAAACTCCAGGAGACTCAAAAACCTTTTAGTCTGTTTCATTGCTGCTGTAATGGTTCTGCTTGGGGCATGTTTCCTCTTCACAAAACTAAGGCAGAACAAGTTTGAGAAGCCACTGAAGACTACTTCCTGGGATGTCAAGCAGTACCGCGTGTTGAACTTCAATGAGAATGAAATCGTTAATGGGATCAAGGCTGAGAATTTGATTGGTAAGGGAGGATCTGGGAATGTTTATCGGGTTGTGCTTAAAAGTGGGGCAGAATTTGCTGTGAAACATATATGGACTTCAAATCTAAGTGAGAGAGGAAGCTGCAGGAGCACCTCCGCTATGCTTAGGAGGAGTTCAAGGTCACCAGAATTTGATGCAGAGGTGGCCACTCTTAGCTCTATTAGGCATGTCAATGTTGTGAAGCTCTACTGTAGCATCACAAGTGAAGATAGCAGTTTGCTTGTTTATGAGTTTTTACCAAATGGGAGCTTGTGGGACAGGTTGCACACCTCTAAGAAGAAGTCTGAGATAGGTTGGGAGGTTAGGTATGATATTGCATTGGGTGCTGCTAGAGGATTGGAGTACCTGCATCATGGGTGTGATAGACCAGTTATACATAGGGATGTCAAATCCAGTAACATATTGCTGGATGAGGAATGGAAGCCACGGATTGCTGATTTTGGCCTTGCCAAGATTCTGAATGGAGGAGCAGGTAATTGGACCAATGTCATTGCTGGAACACTAGGATACATTCCTCCTGGTAAGCTTTAAATCACCTTATTTTAGATTAGACAGAAAAAAGTAATGTTAACTTCTAACAGGTAGGATTTGGCTTAAGATGAAAAAAAATAAATTAAAGTAATCTTAATCGTTGATGGAAAAAATTGACATTGAAATTGTTTATTTTATCCTTAATCACTTCAGAAGAGAGAATCCCGAAAATAGGATCATGTACTTGTAGTTTGGTGTTAAGAGATATTTTCACTTGTAAACTTATTTTACCTGGAATTGACCATTGATTTTTGTTGAGACAGAGTATGCCTACACTTGTAAGGTGACAGAGAAGAGTGATGTTTACAGCTTTGGAGTAGTCCTGATGGAGTTGGTAACAGGGAAGAGGCCAATGGAGCCAGAGTTTGGGGAGACTCATGACATTGTGCATTGGGTATGCAACACTATTAGGAGCAGAGAAGAGACTCTTGAATTGGTGGATCCTACCATTGCAAAGCATTTCAAAGAGGATGCCATGAAGGTACTGAGAATTGCAATACTATGCACTGGCAAAATTCCAGCTTCAAGACCGTCGATGAGAATGTTGGTTCAAATGCTGGAAGAGGCAGATCCATGTAAGACACCCAAGATGATTGTCACCATTGATGCTTAAATAAGGTGCTCCAAAGAATGGACATTTTTTCTCTAAACTGGAGACATATATTTGAGTTTTCCTCTTTTCTAGGCAGCACAAAAAAGTGAGAGTGAGAAGGGGTAATAAATACTAGCATATATGTCTTGCAGTTAGAATGGGATTATCTCCTATGAACCTGAAAATTTTGTTAAAAGAAAAAAAAAAATGATCATGTATCATTATGACACAACTGTGTGAGTAATAAACCAAAAGAGGATTAGCTTGTATGTTGTAGGTTTGTAGCATCTGTGTAGTAGAGGTAAAAATTTATTCTCTTGGGATTAGCTTGTAGCTTTGTAACATGGGGTACCAAAATCAAACGTGCTATCTGAATCATTGTGTAAACTAGACTTCCAAGTATGGAATCTAAATCTCTATTTACAGATGGAAGAATATTTTATTTTATTTTATTTTATTTACTTATTACTTATTTATGCATTTTTTTAAAATAATTCTCAAATCATAAACTGCTTACAAAAATGTTAAAGTTTTTTTTTCCTTAAATCTTTGTCTAATCCGATTAAAATTTTTAAATTTTTATTTTCAAATTAAAATTTTTCATCTTAAATCTGATGTATTTATGGTGTCAAATTGTTTTTTATGATGTATTTTCTTTTAATTTATATTGTTAAACTTTTATTAGGTTGAATAATTGTAATGTAATGCACAAAACATTTACCAATTTCTAATTTACTGATATAATTATGCATGCTAAAATTTGTTCATTGTCCCGTCCTTCACACGTTTTCTAAATATATTTTCGTTAAAATAAAAGTTAAGCTTTGTAAAAATATAAAATTGATATTTGAATAAAAAAAATTAGTCAATTTAATAAAAAGATATTAATTTCAATATTATGTATAGTTAAACTTTTATTTTGAAGTTGATTATTTTTAATATAATCCATAATATATTTAATGAGATTTTACAAAATTACTAGATTTAAACAAGATATATAAGATAATTATATAAAAAAATAGGATTCTATTCTTAACTTAAATTCTTAAATATTAGATTTATGAATTTTTCAATTACTTGTTATTTAACTTCATATTTTTATTTGATAAGAGACTTTAGCTTATCATTAAATTCTAGTCCTATTAACATATTATTAACATAAAGGTTTGAAATAACAATCAATGTTTGATATTTGAATCTATAAAAAAAAATCAAATTCTAAACTTAATGTAATATGTTAATTTTAATATTTATAGTTTATAAAAATTAAATTAAGATATGTTTTATAAAAAAATTTAAAATAATAATATTATTATGAATATAATATCATATATATATATAAATATATATAATTTTATATATTAAATAAACACTTTTTATTATTAATATATAATTATTTAAAAATAAATATATTTTTTTAACAAAATATAAAATATTAAAGTAAATTAAATCAAACCAAAATAATATAAATTCATCTTTAGAATGTAATAATTCTAATTTTCAAACGTTCCTAGTTGAAAACAACATCTACTTCAATGAGCGATACCATACTTCTTGGACATTTGTTCAAGAAAATAGAAAACATCACTACTGTCCACGCATTATAGAAGTATGACAAATCACCTCTTATTTTATTTTTAAAAAAATATGAGACATGCAAAGAGCTAGACCTTACACTTTTATTTTCCAGTTTCATTATTAATTATATTTTAAAATAAATCATAATTGTTGTGAGTGAAAGATTTGTTCTAATATTCTTTTGACAAAAATATTTCATCCAACTTCATACTCAATGGTTTGATTGTTTATATAACTCCACAATGATTACTATATAATATATGATTAAAACCATATTATTGGTTAATAATAATATATATAAGGTAATTGTCATTGCCTTGTTTGTGTCAAGGAGGTGATTTTAAAAAAATGAAATGATAGGAAGAAACAAAAGACACGACAATTTTAGCGAGTGGGAGTGCACATGATCTTTACGTTGCCAAGTTCTAATTGGACAGTGATAATCGCTGTCACATGTTCATAATAACACACAAGAATGAAGTTGGGTTCTGTTCCAAACACCCTCCCTTCCTCCTTCTTCGTATCATCCCTATTTTTCAAATTTCCCATCTCCCTTCCATTATCTCACCCACAAATCCCTTCTTCAGGTTCTCCCTCTCTCTATAGTTTCCAGATTTGTTTAGATAGTTTATCAATTATGTGATACAATGATAGCGTTATGTGGGCCACTAGTTGTGCTGGTGTGCGTGTGTGTTTTCTGTTGACTCCGTTTCTGCATTATTATATTGAACAAGTTTATAACTTCATGAGGGTCTTCTAAAATTTGCGTTTTTGGTGCTATGTACAGGCAGAAATAGCTTAGTTTTTCGCTTGCAAAGCATTGATCATAGAATTGAACCAATACCTAGTAATTTGATGGCTTCAGAAAAGGAATTCCAAGAACTGAACAGAAATCTCTACCCACAAATAGAACCCTACAGTACAGGACTTTTGAAGGTTTCAGATCTTCACACAATCTACTGGGAGCAATCAGGAAACCCCAGTGGCCATGTGAGAAGCAATTGCCTTGCCTCCAACAATGGCTTGAATATGTGTTTTAAATTTTTAACTTTTCTGAGCTTTTAAGCTATGCATTCTGTATTTGTTTATATTTGGATCAACTCTGGAATGGGAGGCAATGGATTATTTTTTCGTCGTTCTAAGTGGATTGTTTTTTAATACAGCTGTATGAACTGTAATGCTAAAACCTATTTTTACACATGCATGTGGGGTTGGATGAATCTAAGCATTTCCATCCTTTGTGAAAGCTAAATTATAAGCATTGACACTCTGGTTATTTTATATTTATTTGTCTTGAGGGGAAAAGTGTAAATAACGGAAAAAAGAGATTTTGATTCTTCATTTTCTAAGCATTTTTATGACAGCCGGTTGTCTTCATTCATGGAGGTCCTGGAGGGGGAACTTCCCCAAGCAACAGAAGATTTTTTGATCCCGACTTTTACCGGATCGTACTATTTGATCAGGTTAGTTTCTGAACTGTGGTATGGTATGCAATAATGGTCTCCCAAGCTTTTGTGCAACGACAGATTGACAATGATTGTCTTCATTAGCGAGGTGCAGGGAAAAGCACACCGCATGCTTGCTTAGAGCAAAACACCACATGGGATCTCATTGATGACATTGAAAAGCTAAGAGAACACTTGGAGATTCCAGAATGGCAGGTTATTTTTCACCACTGGTTGTTTAACGTTTTACATTTTGTGATTGAGGATTCTTATGTAATGAGATATGATCTTTTGCCCCATATAATATGCAGGTATTTGGTGGATCGTGGGGAAGCACTCTTTCCCTTGCATACAGCCAATCTCACCCAGATAAGGTGTATAACTATGTTCTTGATTATGATTGGTTTCTTCTTTACTATGTCATAATGATGTCTTTTTTTACTATATTATTATATTTCTATTATTACTATTATTTTTTTTCCAGTACTGCTCATCATTGTGTAATCTATTATGTTGTTAACATTTTAAAATATCTTATCATTTTGTTCAAGGTTACTGGCATGATCCTCAGGGGAATTTTCCTCTTAAGGAAGAAAGAAATTGATTGGTTTTATGAGGGTGGCGCTGCTGCTATATATCCTGATGGTATAGAACTGTCTTTTCATCTGATTTTCTGGTGCATTAAGTTTGAATATTTGTCATGCATATTAAGGTTTCTTTTTAATGATCTGAAGAGGTTTGATTTATAGGATATATGGAATTACGTGGCAGCTTTATATTATTCTATATTCTTTTAATAATTTGATGTTTTCCATTGTACCTTTGCATAATCTCATATATGCTTTGATTGTGATTTCTGGTTTTCTGCTCATTAAAATCTTGACTTGTAAGTTTTAAGTGGCTGATATTGGTGCATTTTGTCTCATGTCAGCTTGGGAGCCGTTTAGAGATCTTATTCCTGAAAGTGAGAGAGGATGCTTTGTTGATGCCTATAAGAAGAGATTAAACTCCAATGATATCGAAACTCAGGTTAGTGTCTGTGTTGTTTTCTCCCATTAACAAGACTTTTTGGAATATTAGTTTGGTTTCAAAGCTGCTGTTTGTTCCACTTTTTTGGCCTGAACTCTTCTTAGGACTAGTTTAGAAATCTATCCTTAACAATACAGTGTTTTCAACATATCCTCGAATCTGAAATGAGTACTAATGAGCGTATCTATGAGTGTGGTACATGACTGGATTCTAGAGCGGCTTTATTGCATATATTGAAAACTTGACTGTCATATTACACATGGGGTTTTCTATGTAACTGAGGGCGCTTGGGACACAGTCTATTTGTTAAATGTAGAAAGGACAGCCCTGAAATTTTCTTTTCGTTTCCCCTTTGTAAATGCAGCCAAAAGATATCAACCCCTTTCTAGAACACTACTTATTTAAATATGATTTATTAATGGATTCAAGAATTTTTGTTATTTACTTATCTATGTATTTGTTCTTAGTATGCAGCTGCTAGAGCATGGACCAAATGGGAAATGATGACAGCTCATCTTCTTCCAAATGAAGATAATATCAAAAAAGGGGATGATGATTACTTTTCATTGGTAAGTTCATTAAGTTAAACATAGCCTGGATGTTGACCGGAAAATGCTTGCCAATCACTTTCCAAATACTGTTCCATTGTGCTGTGTAACCTTTATAATTCGTAATGCTTCCTTCCTGTAAATCTATCAATTTCTCTGTATGTATGGTTGAAAATGATATGCCAATTGCTTGTGTAAAATTTTGCAATTCAAATGTAGTTCTTAAAAAATACTAATATCTACCAATTATATGGATATTTTTTGTGTTTTCTAAAATTTAAAAAGTGCACCGACTTAACAAATCTCTGTTGCATATATATGTTGCTATTGGTCTTTTGGGTGTTCTTGAATTCTGTTATTAGTTTGTGAAAAACATTTTTTCCTAACAGAGAAATAGTTAATAATCTTTGCTGACTGAAATGAGGAAAACAGTGGACAGAGTGACGTCTGGGTGTTTTGGAGAGCACTGTTCTTTTGTATCTTAATTGTTGAGAGCCCTTTCTTCTTCTTTAGGCACTTTAGATTGTTTTCCTCTCGTCAAAATTTGTACAGTAAGACAATCCCTAGTCAAATAGAGTTTTTTTTTTTTCATTTTAGTTTAGGATTGATTTACATTTATGTTTTTTTGTTGTTTGTGGTTGAGATTCTTTAACTTGTACTTATGAGTGATTACAAATATATTTTTCTATCAGGCATTTGCAAGGATTGAAAACCACTATTTTGTGAACAAGGGATTCTTCACTTCTGATTCATTCCTGCTGGACAACATTGATAAAATAAGGCATATCAACACCACAATCGTGCAGGTAACATAACTTCAATACTGCACCCTTTAACATGTAGATTCTTGACATTTTTCTTTCTTAACTTTGTAGGGAAGATATGATGTTTGCTGTCCTATGATGTCAGCCTGGGATCTTCATAAAGCTTGGCCAGAGGCAGATTTCAGGGTGAGACTAAAATGTTGCTTACGTTGGTTTTTCTTTATGCTGTGATAACTATCTATGAAGGTTCATGATAGAGATCTTAAAGTCATATTTCTTCAGATTTAGTTTCTTCTTAACTCATACAGGCAGTTAGGAACAAAAAAGTTTTTCACATAATCTTATGTATAACATGGTCAAGTTACTGAATCATGCGATGATACAGGTGGTTCCAGATGCAGGGCATTCAGCCAATGAACCAGGCATAGCTGCTGAACTTGTGGCTGCAAATGAGAAATTAAAGAACATAATCAAGGACAAAGGCGAGTGAAGTGAGTGGACAGACAAAATAAAAATCAAATGCTGCAAGATTCATCTATGACCAGTTTGATGTCTAAAAGCAAAATATTTCAAGTGGCCATGTATATAAAAGCACTAGCATGCCGTGTAAACTCAAAGGTTGTCATTGTCACAACAATATCCCCAGATTCACCAAATTTCTTGTTTGTGCATTTACAATAAGAGAAATAAATTATCGTGGTTACGAATTTTGTTACACGAAGCTCGTAGGAAACATGGAATGGTATGTTAATTATTTTTTTCTAAAATATTTTTAATTGATTGACATGTTTTACTATGTAAAATGAACGAGACAAAAAAAAAACTCCTAATATAATAATTTGAGAGTACAAATTCTTAATCCACTTCTATAACTTGTAAGAACCTTTTTTTTTTTACTATTTTTTTTAAGATGTAGCCAAGTTGAAATGGTTTTTACACACACATACACACACACACATATATATATATATATATATATATTGTTTGTCATAGCAAAATTTAAGTACCAAATAAAGCTGTATACTAAACTAAAATTGCCAAGTACACCAAAATGAATTCATGTTATTCACAAATCAAAACTAAGCAACTAGTACAAATTAAATCGTATGTCAACTTACAACAAACACAACTCTTACAATTAAATCGTATGCTGTGGTAAACTATAAAAGAAAAGTCCTCTTGATGATTGTTATATTTAAAATCGCCACGTTAACCACATTTACAAAATAAAAAGGAATAGATTTTGAAACTGAAGCCCATTTTCTCAGTCTAGACAAACTCGCAAGTTACTGCAACACACCTTTTTCATCATCCAAAGCCACTAAAAATTCAATGATCATATTGAACAACGCCACTCCAACCCCAAAAAATAAGTTCTCAAGTGTGTTTTCTGGTGTTGCAACCCTTCGGCACATGTAGGCTGTGAAACTTTGGTTCCACAGGAACAGTTAATGCCCTCCTTCCCCGTGAACAAGGCCTAGGAGTGGAACCCCTAGTTTTACATGTAGGTGAAGAACCTGCTTCAACTTTACGTGGCTTTGCTTCCTTTGGCTTTACAATGTCTGATGGCTTTTCGACAATAACACTTAGTTTTGTTGCAATGACAACCTTTTCTTTCTTCCTTGGTAAAGTACTGCAATAGACACTTTCATTGGAATCAAAGATATACTTAATGCAAACACAACGTGTTTCACAATCTGATTATTACTTACCTTAAAGGCCTTAGAAATTTACGTTGCGTCAATTCGGATTTTCTTTTGAAATTATCATTCACATCAATGGATTTCTGAAGTTTAGGACCAGGAGGATTTTTGTGAGGTGCCGTAGCAGATAATTTACGTTGCACCTTGCAGTTGGAATTGTCAATTTGAATGCTTCCCTACATAACGTTTTGGGAAGTTTCAGCTACTGTCTAAAATACTCTAAGCTGAAATAAATAGGTGTACGCTTCTGTGCATCAACTTACAGATTGGTTTTCTTGTGTTGTTTGGCTTGATTTCTCATCACAACTGCTATAATAGTCAGTGTCTTGTTCACTTTTTGTAGAACAAGTTTCACTTTTCTGAAAAGAAAATAAAGAGAAAGGTCAATTTTTGAAATTCAATGCTAAAAATAATGAAAGGTTCACAATGAAACTGAACTCACTCGATTTCCAATCCGATGCTTCCTCATTGCCTTCCCACCTTTAACTGTGGTTTCTTCTAAAGGTGAGGGATTTTTTCTATCCAAGTTTGCTTCTTTAAGAATTCCCCTTTCCTGCAGCATAAAAAAATAAAATGAATGAATCACACTTGATTAAAATAACTTGTTTCTAAACAAATAATAAACTAAACATAATCCCTTCCCTTACTTACATCAGTTCTCAGCTTAAAAGGCTTAGGATTTGTGGGCTTTAATTTTCTGTACTTTACAACTTGAGAAGCAGTTGTGGTCGATGTAGATTTCTGTTTTAAGGTCAAAACTATAGTCAAATCATTGAATCAGGTGGGGCCGACAGTAAGATTAATCCATAACTAGACCAAACCTTTTGTGTTTTTCTCGAATCCTCATGCTTGCTCCCAAGAATAGCCTTTTTTTTGGGCACGTCATTATCGGTACTCACCTCTCTGCAGCTAACAAGAATTCATTGATTTCACCAAGTTTAAGAAACAAATGAGAGCCAGACATTTTGAGAGATATCAAATTCCTTACATGTTTTCATGAGGGGTTGAAGCATTTTCCTTGTCATCATTCTCATTGGGCTGCCGCCCATCATTTTCTTTGTCATCAGAATTTTCTTCAGCCTTTCTCTTCTTGGCTCCAGAAACTTTTCCCTTAGCGGAAACCGAGTTCCTTGTCTCCTCAATTTCACTCTCCCCTCTTGTTGGTTCTTGAGAAATTTCATGAGATAGTCCACCACCCCTTGCTGAAGTTCCGGATTCAATGCATCCTTCTAGAGAGCCACACCTAGATTTCTCATCTATCTCCATATCACTGGAGTCATTTTGATGAGGCTTAGCAACCTGGCGTTTCTGAATGCCTTTTTTCACTTTCTTCTCCTTCAAACTGGACTTTGAGTTAGTTTCCGGTTCCTTGCTATTATTAGAATACAAGGAGTCAAACACGCGGCTTTTAACCTCTCTTCCCCTCAATTGTTTTTTGGAGGCAGTCACTGGCAATGAGTTGCTACCTTCTTCTCCATTCTTCTTCACTTCATTGAGCTCAAGCTTTTTCATTGCTGAACACAGTGCTCTCATTGGTGTTTTCAATTCTATGGAACTCTTGATCTTTATCACCTTCTTAGGCGAGTGAAAAACAAGAGCCTTAGCCACCACTCTGCTCTTAGGCACACCAACAGTCAAGGCTTTCTTGCTCTGAACACTTCTAAATTGTTCTACATTGGAAACCTTCTTCTGATTATTCCTCGGGGTAGTCAAGGCCTTGACCACCGAAGGTGATGGCCTCACCTTAGCATTTGGGGTTGCAGCAACCTTAGAAAGAGGTTTAACTTTCACGTTGTTGTCGGTCATCTTGTGTGACAATGAGGAAATAAAGCCCATTCTTGACACCCTTGACTTTGCAGGAGCTGTAAGGGGGCACTTTGCGCTGAAAATGACCACATAGACCTCATAATAAATAAAATGATATAGGAAAATAATTTAATAACTTCACAAGTTGAATTATAAACTTAAAATTAGCTTAACGCTCTTTAAGCTTTTTAAAAAAATAGTTCGTAAACAGTAATAATTATGGTTGAATTCCTGCAATGCCAATAATGGCAACAAAACTACAAGCTTTAAGTACAATTTACAAATTTTTTTTGTATCATTGTAGTCAGAACTTTTGACTTCGAGCGTTTTACTTTTAGTAGGAGGTTAGATCCTGTAGACTATTCGAACCTTAATTACACTTAAAGTTCGTCGTCTCTCCCAAAACGTAGTGTGTATTACAAATTGAACCACACACATTAGGTATCGCAAGTACAATTTAAAACCTTGACTTCTTACCTCCAAAATGTCTTATGCAGTTCTACAATTTAAAAATTTAGATTAACATATAGTGAGTGTATATTGATTAGGTGATGGCTACCTTGCTTCTCTTCTATTCAAAGGTTAAAGTAAACTTAATGTTTGATTTAGACTTAGTCACCTTAGAAATCATAGCTCATGTCCAATAATGCATTTTGTGTGAATCAAGCCAAAACTTAATCATCCTATTCAAAACGTCGGACTTTTAAACTTGTCATCTCTTTAAGAACAGACATCTACGGCTTCACTCTTCAATATTGACCCTGTGGCATCTCGTAATCCAACTCTCAATGATAACACCAATTATTAGGACTAAAGAACAAAAAAAAAACAATCTAAAAGGCTAATCCATATGATAGAAGAACCGCTAGCACCATATCATCTGCTCAAGATGAAACTCCAAATCAAATGATTGTGTTTAGTTTTACACCACGGATGTAGTTTTTCACGTTCTATATGTAACTTGCAGATACTAGTAGTTAAAACTTTGACATCTCTTGAACATAATTACTTAATTCTCAACTTATTTCCAAACATACTGTGACTCACACTCTCTGTCATATTCAATTTGAAAACTCTACTTCTTCAATCTTACATTAGAAAGGTTTTACAGTTAAAAATTCCATATTGATCAAGGTGAGTGTATAAACTTGTTTATTGAACAATGGCTACCTTGCTTCTCTTCTATTCAAAGCTTTTCTGAGGCGTACATTTGGGCTTCTGGCTGCCATAACCTGAAAATCCAAGATCCGTTCATTTACCCATCATCATATTCACGTCCATAAGCGGAGAGAGTAAAACATAGTTGAAGAAGAAAAGACGAACTAACCCGAAGAACAAAATTCTTGTAAACTGCCTCAGAGTCCAACTCTTGTTCATGCTTTTGGTCACACCCTGTTGGAAAAAGTCACGTAATTCATAATCCAGAAGATGAAAAAGATTTGGAAGAAGATGCGAAGGAGTGAGAGACGACATTACCAACGCGGAAGCAGAACCAGTGGCGGTCATCGCCCGGGCGGCGAGAATCAGGTGCGGTGAGGTCCACAAACTTGGGAGCTTCGATGTTCTCGTAGAAGTCATCGTCTACTTCTATTTCCTCTTCTTCGATGATGGGTAAACACCGAGTTTCTGCCATAACTTCTACTGTTGGGAATAACTTCTTTCTCTTGGGAGCGTGTTATTTTTGCTTTGGCGCTATTAAGGTCGAATTGTAACGTAAATTGTAATAATCTTCAGCATTGGTTTTCTAGCCGACATTTTTAAAATAAAAATTGACAGTAACTAGCCGTTATGATTCCGACAGCCTGGTTAGAGAGAAACGGCATGGAAGGGGTCCTTTCGTCATTACATTTATTTCATACAGCTTGGGTTGGATCCTGACCATGTGGACCCAAGCCCACTTGTTCCTCACGGCCCAAAACCACTTGGTCTCATCGCCCATAGCATTCCAACCAATTTTATTTCGATTTCTCTAATTTTTTATAACCAAGTACCTTATGTGGACACTTAGATCCTAATCAACACTCAATATTCACTTGGATAAATAATGAGTTATGATATTTATGCCTGCCCTTTTTTAATTAAAAGAAAATGTGGGAGAAAAATGGAAAAATAAAATAAAATTTGGAGAAACCTTAAATAATAATCCTCATTGTTGTGTGAGAATGTATTTTAAAATAAAATATTTTAGCCAAATATAAAAAAAAAAATTGTTACAGTTGAATAAGTTTATTTGTACAAAATTTGATATAATTGATTAAGATGGTTACTTATTTTAAAATTATCTTCGAATTAATAGTTACCTATCATAATTGAATACCATTGAAAAACAAAAATAGTAAAAGAGTTATTTTGTCTTGTCGACAGGAATGATGGTACAATTCAGGGTGATTAATTGTAATTGGAAATAAAAGATAAATATTTAACACATTAATGGTTGGCGTCAAACTTAATTGAGCTTTTAATTTTCAACTACTTCATTCAGTTCTAATTATTATAGGACCAAGTAAACATGGTTGGTCGTTACTCATTTAATGTTGAAATTGCCACGTTTTACTGAAAGAAAGATTACAGTTGTTTTTGGTTATTTGATAAATTTAAAAATAATCGCATAAGAATATATAAAAAACTATAGTAATTAGAAATTCATTAATAATTTTTATCAAACTTAGTTAGTAATGTCTTCCAGCTTTTGAATAATAAAACTATAATAAAAGATTCATTGGTTTCTTAAATAAATAAAATTTATATAAACAACAATTCAAGTTAAATTAAACTCAAATTTACTTTATCACCACTTTAAATAACTTTATGTTTTTATATTATTTTTTATATTTCTTATTTATTATTATCTATCTAAAAAAATTAAAATAATAAATAAATTTAGATAAGACAAGTAATTAATTTTTTATACTCGAATAATTTATTAAGCTGAATATTTTAATTATTAAAACCAATTTAAGATAGAGTATAATCTATTTTTAAAATATTAAAGTATTTAAATAGTAAATAATTTAACAAAATTATATTGGAATAGATGGAACAATAAGTAAAAATTTAATTAATTAAATTGAGTGATAAATTTAATAAGATTGAAACAACTGTAAAACCGGAAGTAAGATAAAATGAGATATATCACCCTAATTAATACCAATATATAATGGTATAAAATGGTTCAGATTAATAAGAGGACATGAACCTATTGAATGTCTAATTAATAGCAATATATAATGGTTGAGATTAATAGGGCATAATATAATCTCTTTAACAAACTTATATGGGACTAGATGAGTAAAAAGTAAAAAATTAATTAATTAAATTGAGTAATAAATTTAATAAGATTCAAACAAATAACGGTAAAACCGGTAAAGTAAGACAAAGTGAGATATATCGTCCTACTTAGTACCAATATATAATGGTATATAACCTATCCAATGTCTAATTAATTAATACCAATATATAATGGTTGAGATGAATAGAGCATGAACCAACCTTTGAATCTGATTACATGAAGATCACCCTATTCAATGTCTAATTAATACCAACATATAATGGTCCATATTAATAGGGCATAAACCAAATTCTGTTGCAAAAGAGAAAATCACATCCTTCTTATAATCTCTATACAAACCAAATAACTCATAAAGTTACGAGGAGTGACTTATCTTTCATTTATAATATGGAAATAAATTTTACACGTTTATATTCCCAAAATTTCATAATATAAGTACAATACGAGAATAATGGATAGGTACTTTATGCAAGTCAATATTAATAGTATTATTTAAAACTTTTAATTTATCCATAATTATTATATATTTTTTATAATTTATAACGAGTCTATCAAATATATAATAATTAATTGAATATAAGTTATAATTAAAATCATAATAATTATTTTAAAAATATATAATATAATTTTTTTCTTTTCAAATGAATAGATAAAAAAAAAGACAAAGATATGGATTACACTAAATTTTACACCATTTAATAAATAAATAAATTTTCAGCATTCTTTAATTAATTTTTAAGACTTAAAAAATGGACTTAGTATTACTTATCATTTTTTTTATCGGTTTATTACATATAACACTATTTTAATTCATATATAAACACTCGATAATAATAATAATTATTATATTATATTTTAATTAGTATTATCATAAAATAATGATCAAATTTTTATATATAAAAGATACATATAAATAACATTTTTCTATAAAGGAACACATGAAAAAATTGGTTGTCCCCATTCAAAGTTAAAGCAATAATAAGATGGTATTCCTTCTCTACCAGACATGTTGAATGAAATACAGAATAAATGTTATAACATCATATAAATATTATGAAAAAAATCACCTAAATAATTATTTAGGTAAGACAATATAATATATAATAAAGTAAAGATATATTTATATATTTGTACGATCAAATTAAGTTTTTAAAATGTTTTTCAATAAATTTAATGTAATTATTTTTACTTTTTTTCATTTTAAGTTTTTAATAAAATTAAGATTCTCATTTGTGATTTTTTTTAGTTAAAATATGATACTGAATTTCCAGTTATGTTGATGGTAACCGTAGGTGTTTGGCAATAAATGAAAACAAAGAACTAATAAAAATTGAAGTTACTGTGAACAGGAGCATCATATTTCATACAATTGAAAAGACGTTGCAGTGAGTTAAGACATGAACCGTGAAAATGAAAATGAACATATGTTATTAAATTTATATCAATCTATTTTTAGGTGAATTATTTATATATTTTTTATTTTTTTATAATTTCTTTTATGTTTGATCTCATCATTAAATTTTGTTATTTGAAAGTGAGAATTGTTTTTTGAAACTTATATACCAAAAACATCTAATGGAATGGAAAATCTTAATGATATAGGAATTAAATGTGATTTTTTTATATAAAAAATTAATAGGATAAAAAGAATTTTAAAAATAAAATTATATATTTATTAGAATTAAAAAATAATTTATCAATAAAATTAATTTTAAATACTTTTTGTCTATTTGCATTATTTAAAAGTTGGTTTTAAATTTTTTATTTTCAAATTGATTAATTCATCTCAAATTTTTTTAATATATGTTATTTTAATATCTGTATACATAAATTTAACTTTGAGTAATGATTTTGTTTACCATATGTGTATGATTTTATTATTTATTTATATCAATTTTGAATGATTTTTTTATTTTAATAATAATTTGTTGATCAATTAACTAACTTTTAAAATATAAAAAATTAAACCAAATTTTAATAAAATATAAAAAATATGTCTATATTTAACTTGATATATATATATATATATATATTATAAAATAAATTTATATATAAATATTCAAGATAATTCCATCTAAGAAATAAAGTTAAAATTAATTTAATTTAAATTATAATATTTTTTATCTGAATGTTTTAGTTATGGATCCGAGGAACTGTAATACAGTTGTCCTCTGAATAAATTAATGATGTACCGAATACCTACCAGGATGTGTACAGATAACTATCTCGCATTCAACATTTATTTATATATATATATATATATATATATATATATATATATATAAAGTTAGTTTCTGAAATTTACCTAATAATACAAGCAGTTATCATTATTATATTAATTAAAGTTATTTTCTAAAAAAAAATAAAAGAACAAATTAAAATTTAGTTAATAGTTAAAATATAATTTGAAAAATTAATATGGTTAAATATATTTTCGATAACTGTGTATTAAATATCGATTATTGTTGCATTTTCTTTTATCTGTAAATCATTACATTTTTTATTAGTACGTGTTTGACTTATATTAATTATTATAAATAAAAAATCATTTCTTTGTAAATTATTACATTTTTTATTATTATGTGTTGACTTATATACTAATTATTATAAATAAAAAAATAAAATAAAGTAGTGGATAAAATATATTTTTTATATGATAATTATACTTAGTATATTTAAAATATTTAATTTAATTTTATATATTATTAGTTATTTATTAAATTTTTAATTATTTTTATTAGATAAATTATTAATTTTATATCATTTAAACTCATTAAGTGGTTTTTATATTTATATATATAAATATAAATGTAAGTATCTAATTATATATGTAAAAGTTTTTTTTTTATGATACAACTTATTGACTTTCATGATATATATATATATATTTATAATTAATTATGATGTTGTTCCATAAATTTTTTTTCTATAATTAAAACTATACTATTTATATGTTACTTAATATTTCATATAACATAAAAATAATTATTTATTTAATTAAAATAACTATAATTTAATAAAATAATTAATATTATATAAAAATTAAATAATAATATAAATTTTTATTATAAAAATGGTCATTTTTAGCATACCAATGAATTTCATTGAAATAATGTGACACGACAAGATGTATTTTTAATAGAACAAATTAAAAAATTAATTTAATTATATAATTATTTTTTATTTTTTAAAACCTAAATATTAAATTTAAGACCTTATCATATTATATACTCTAACATTTTATAACTTAAAGTTAGGACTTAAATTTAAAACTCTTGCTAAGGAGAGATGCTATAATTAATTATTCCATCAGTTCTTTTTATAATTTTAAAATTAACTATTAT